AGGAAATTCCATCCCCCTCAGTATCTCTTGGGCGTTTTCCAGCACCCATTAGGCTTCGGTTACAAAGACAATTTCAAGAGCCTCAGCTGATAAGGAAAAGTAAATGCTGAGCAAAAGGAACAAGTCCAGTATTAACAATACGAGATATCTTGTAAATCCAGCAGGGAGGCAATTCAGAAGAAGAATAAAACAAAAAGAAAGGAGCCACAAAAAAACGCTCACCAGCCGTCGGCCATCTTTTCTGCCTGCCGGCCTTGACCTAGTTCGGCCCACGCTAGCTTGATCCCATCAGATCTCAGACGAAGCAGGATCAGCCCTGGTTAGCCCTCGGACGGGAGACCCCAATGAAGTCAAGGGTCGCTACGCAGAGGCAGGCAATGGCAACCCACCTCTGTATGTCTCTTGCCTTCAAAACCGTACAGGGTCACTGAGAGTTGGTTGCGACTTGATGCCACACTTTAGATATGTGCCCAAGTTTCAGGTAAAGTTCCTATGTGGTTGTTTGGTTTTTATGCCGGAGCATCAGGATATCCAGCCTACAGTTTCGAACACTGAAGAAAAGAATGAAATTAAGACACAACAAAGGCAAAATGTAACAACAACTGTTAAAAACAAACCAAGAAGTCTGTTTTCAAAGGTAGGCGCAGGAGACAGCTGGCTGATTCTTCCTGTCTGAAGATGCTCAGTGGGCTAGCAGCTGGCCAGTAGGGGGAGCTTTAGTGTACTACTAGTCTGGTTTAGGGATGTGCATTCGGTTCGTCTATGGGGCTATAATGGAAACTATGAACTATAATGGTCCCCATAGGCTATCATTGAGCCAGGAAAAAAGTATTTATTTATTTTTTGCACACCCTTATCATGTTTTTCAGTATGATTTGTAAGCTGCCTTGAGTCACAGGGAAGAGTGGGATATAAATATCTGAATAAATACGTCGTTTGGGCAGGTGGATAACATTGAAGCGACGTCCTGTTTGTTAGGTTAGGCAGCGTTCTGACAGTGATTGTTCCACCTTGGTTATACTTGACCTGTAATGCTGGTTGTCATATTTCACTAAAAATACCCAAAGCAGAATGTAAGAGTCCCCCCCCCCCAAGCGCTGGTATGTTTTCTATAAGTCAGTGGGCATCATATAGCCCGTCAATTCTGACACAAGCTGTATACTCGTTCTTAGTAATGGACTGTCATTAAACACTTATCTTCTGAAGAAGCCTTGGTGTATGGTGTGATCCTGCTAAGCAACCTGACACTGGATGACTGCCCCTTTGTAATCTCCCCTGCCGTCTGGCGGTGAGGGGAAGCGTTGTTAGTCCCTGAACAGGCTTGCTCCCATCAGTCCTCACGCCAAGACCCCTTAAGGTGGCTCCCAAATCTGGTAAATGGCATGCAGGCCAATTTCTCTAAACGGATCCGGCCCCATGCTGTTACCACCACAAGAGCTCGGTGGGACTCCCGTCCAGCTCCTGCCAATGCTCCTACAGCTACAGCCAAGATCGTATAGGACGCTGGGCATGCTGGGGGCGGGGCCACGGTCATCCGAGGGAAAACTCTATGGTTTTCTCTTGGATGGTCGTGGCCCCGCCCCCAGCGTGCCCGGCGTCCTAACGTCACTTCCGGGTGATGTGCGTGCGGTGCACGCATGCACCAGTCGCCGGACGGGAGTCCCCCGCCGCGGCGATTTTTCAACTTGCCAACCCTAACCCCTGTAGAGGACAACATTTTGTGTAATGAAATTTGACTTAATTCTGTTTTCTCGTATAATGTTTAAAACACAGTTTAAATATAGTTTAAAAGAATTCATTCTGAGATTTTTACAAGGTTATGGAAATGATCTTCTAAAAAGAATAACTGACGCAATAGTCAGATGTAGACCTGCTCGTAACTTTTAATGCTGCTTGCTTTTTTCACTCACGAGGCAGAATTTTTGCTGACAGCTCTGTAGAGCTTAGAGGGACCATCGATCCCCGCCCTTTGTTTATCTTCCAGGGGTGATGTACAGCCTCCCGTTTGTCTGTGGTCAAATAACATCATTCCCTGAAGCCACCAAATACCGCTGCAGAAATTGTAGCTTTCCATTTTATTACGGGGGTCCAGCACCAACCAGACTAGGGGTGTGCAAAAAAAAAAAAATTCAGCCCGGCTTAAAGCTCAAATCACATCCATCCATCCATCCATCCATCCATCCATCCATCCATCCATCCATCCATCGCCACTGGAAATAAGCAGCATAAAAACTATCCATAAAAGAGAAGCAGGCCTTTAAGGGAAGACACCCGCCCCCAATTAAAAGCCTGGGTAAAAGCCTTGAGGCCTAGCGAGCCTCAAGGGGGAGAGCGTTTCAAAGGCAGGATGTCACCCCAGAAAATGCCCTGTCTCCAGCTGTCACCCACCTCATCTCTGAAGATGGGGGCACAGAGAGCCGGGCTTGAGAGGCAGATTTGAACTGGTGGGCAGGACAGTACAGGAGGAGACGGTCCTTCACTCCTTACCTTCCCAGCAGCTTCTGTGATGCGACCATTTCTAACAGGCTACGGGAGGGAAGACACTCTCTCCAACTCCTCGTGAGCCTTGTAAGGAAGGGAGTACACTTTTGGCACCACCTAGGCCAGAGGGGACAAGAACAGCATCACATTCACCCAAATCCCTCTACGGGATTTTTTTTTTTTTTTGTCTGAATCATGTATAGCTCCAAAGGCAGCTTGCACAAGAGCAATCTGAAGACCCCTCCCAGAACGGCCCGAAGGTCCAGCGTCCTGTTTTCCACAGTCCTACTAGTGTGTTTCTACCCATCCCTTTCTCCAAGGAACTCAGGGTGACGCACTTGGTTCTCCTTTCTCACTCCCAGGGGTTTTTTTGTAGAAAAAGCCCAGCAGGAACTCATTAGCATATCAGGCCACACCCTGAGATAGCAGCTCATTAGCATATTAGGCCACACCCCCACGTTACCAGAAGTCTGGTCATCCAGCCACACCCACCTTTTGCTTCTTCTTCTATTTACCTTGTTTGTTGTCAAAACCCAGGGCTTTTTTTTTTGTAGCAGAAACCCTTTGCATGTTAGGCCACACACCCCTAATGTAGCCAATCCTAATGAGTTTCTGCTGTTGGGTGTGGCCTATTATGCTAATGAGTTCCTGCTGGGCGTGGCCAACTTGGGAGCCAGCCGGAACTCCATTCCTGTGTGTTCCTGCCCAAAAATAGCCCTGCTCACAACAAACCCCTGATAACAGAGGTAGATGAGGCTGATACAGGGCGAGTGGCTCAAGATCATCCACAGTGCTGCCCTAAGCAGTTAAACCCTTCTAAGGGTTAGAACGGATAAAAGGAAGTCCTTCTTCACCCAGAGAATGACTAGCAGATGGAATTCACTGCCACAGGAGGTGGTGGAGGCTACAAGCACGGAAGACTTCAAGAGGGAATTGGATAAACATATGGAGCAGAAGTCCATCAGTGGCTATTAGCCACAAGGTATAGATAGGAGCTCTCGGTCTGGGGCAGTGTTCCCTCTAAGCTGAGTTAGCGTGAGTTAGCTCACAGTTTTTTAGCCTCCAGCTCACATATTTTTGTCTTAGCTTAGGAAGGATGGCTCCAGAGCAAACTAATTTATGCAGTAGCCAAATTGCTTGCTCACAACATTAATGCCAGTAGCTCACAAAGTATGATTTTTGCTCACAAGACTCCAAGCTTAGAGGGAACACTGGTCTGGGGCAAGTGATGCTCTGTATTCTTGGTGCTTGGAGGGTATCCTGCCACTGCTCATGGAGATCCCATTCTTCCATCACAGCTAATAGCAGTTGATAAGCGTTTGAATCTGCAAATTCCTTTTTCTGCTTTGAATTCTGATGAGTGTGACTGACAGTGGGCCAGTTTGGCGTAGTGGTTAGGAGCGTGGATTCTAACCTGGGAGAACGGGGTTTGATTCCCCACTCCTGCACGTGCAGCTGCTGGTGTTGACCTTGGGTCAGTCAGAAGTCCTTTCAGAGCTGTTCTCTCAAGAGCAGTCCTAGAAAGAGCTCTCTCAGCCCCACTTACCTCACAGGGTGTCTGTTGTGGGGAGGGGAAGGGGAAGGAGTTTGTAAGCCGCTCCGAGACTCCCTTGGGTAGTGAAGGGCGGGGTATAAATCCAATCTCTTCCTCTTCTTCTTTTACCTCACAGGGTGTCTGTTGTGGGAAGAGGAAGGCAGTTTGTAAGCCACTCTGAGACTCCCTTGGGTAGTGAAGGGCGGGGTATATAAATCCAATCTCTTCCTCTTCTTCTTTTACCTCACAGGGTGTCTGTTGTGGGGAGGGGAAGGGAAAGGAGTTTGTAAGCCGCTCTGAGACTCCTTCGGGTAGTGAAGGGCGGGGTATAAATCCAATCTCTTCTTCTTCTTTTACCTCACAGGGTGTCTGTTGTGGGGAGGGGAAGGGAAAGGAGTTTGTAAGCTGCTCTGAGACTCCTTCGGGTAGTGAAGGGCGGGGTATAAATCCAATCTCCTCTTCTTCTTTTACCTCACAGGGTGTCTGTTGTGGGGAGGGGAAGGGAAAGGAGTTTGTAAGCTGCTCTGAGACTCCTTCGGGTAGTGAAGGGCGGGGTATAAATCCAATCTCTTCTTCCTCCTCCTGTGTCAGGCAAAGGTCTCTTTTTCCCACCCCATTACATGAGATTCTCTAAGTGGAGATGCTGTGGTTCGAACCTGGGGCTTTCTGCATGCCAAGCATCTGCTCTCTTCAGCACCTGCCGTACATACTCCGTCCTCCCCTCCAGTCGTCAGCAGTTGTGTCACACTTTCAAAGCACGTCTAATCATTTCCCCAAATGTGCCCTGGAAGTTTGCTGCGGCTGCTGAGAATTCTTTCTTGGATCTCCCTAGTTTTCCCTTTACAGGACTACAGTTCCCAGAGATCCCTCTTCCACCAGTTTTATAGGGACCAGCACTGATAGGCTCTGTGCGTTCCACCTACCCAGCCCAACGGTTTCTAGCCTGACATCGTATGACCCTCTTTCCGGTTCCTTTTCTTTTCAGATATCGTCCTGGTTCTGGAGCCGACGGAGCGGTATCAGATAGTGAAGGGGTTTGGCGGTTCGGTCACCGATGCAGCCTCCATAAATATCCTCTCCCTAACGCCGGATACCCAGAACAATTTGCTCCGTTCCTACTTCTCAGAGGATGGTGAATAAGGAATTGGAGGGCTGGGGACAGGGGGATGACTTGAGGATATAAGGAGATAGCAGTCCACATTTTCCCCCTTGTTATTCCCCCCCTCCCCCCACACTTCTGTAGGGATCGAGTACAACGTGATACGTATCCCCATGGCGAGCTGCGACTTCTCCATGCGTCTGTACACGTACGCTGACTGGCCAAATGACTACGCGTTGAAACACTTCAGCTTGGTCGAGGAGGACGTCAAGATGAAAGTGAGTGTTGCGAGGGGCGTCTGCGCATGCGTGGAAGCGGCTGGAGGGGAGAAGTTGCTGCTGAGGTACAGGCCCAACTGTTTTGGCCGGCTTTGGGTGGGACACTGGTGACCTGTCAACAGGTCCCCCCACAGTTTAGTGTCGTGGTTAGGAGTGTGGACTCTAATCCGGGAGAACCGGGTTTGATTTCCCCCACTCCTCCACTTGCAGCTGCTGGGTGACCTTGGGTCAGTCACAAGTTCTCTCAGAGCTGTTCTCTCAAGGGCAGTCCTCGAGAGAGCTCTCTCAGCCCCACCTCCCTCACAGGGTGTCTGTTGTGGGAAGGGGAAGGAGATTATAAACTGCTCTGAGACTCCAAGTGAAGGGCAGGGTATTTATTTATTTATTTATTTATTTATTTATTTTTGGGATTTATGTCCCGCCCCATCCAGTATTCAGCTCGTGGCGGCTTACAGAAGTTAAAACATATATACAACAGCATGATAAAACAATATATCCGATATAAAATTTGGTGCTTAATTAATTAACATAAAATCCAAGATGGACGACGTCCCACACTGGCGGCCAAGTTCTTCGTAGCAGGAGCTCCAGGAAGAGTGTTTTCCAGATCTATTGGGCGGCAACTACCCCAACATGGGGTAGGTAGTTAGGATATCATTGATGGAACAGTGACGGCGGCGGCTCCCCCTCAAAGGCCTGGCGGAAGAGCTCCGTCTTACAGGCCCTGCGGAACTGCACTAGGTCCCGCAGGGCCCGAGTCTCTTCCGGGAGCTCATTCCACCAGGTGGGAGCCGCCACCGAAAACGCCCTAGTTCTGGTTTGGGTCAACTTCGCTTCCCGGTGGCCTGGAACCTCCAGCCGATGGAAGTTCCCCGATCTCAGTGCTCCAATCTCCTCTCCCCCCCCAGGAGAGACAGCCACAGCGTGGGTAGAGCAAGCTTGAGGAAAGAGCTTCAGTGATTCTCATTTACCCTCCTTTCGGCTCTCCTCCTGGCTTTCATCGTAGCTGTCAGAGCCTAGCCACACTTTTTCACTGCCGGTTGTTGTTGTTCAGTCGCACAGTCGAGTCCGATTCTTCGCGACCCCATGGACCAGATCTCTGCAAGAAAGTAAGTGAGGTGTGATGGGCATATTTGCCAGGCCAGCAGCAGACCCAGTGCAGTGTGCCCCCCAGAACCAGTGCCACTGTGGCAGTCAGTGCCCAAACCCAACAGAACTCAGGTCAAATGCCCCCAGAGATTCTCTGATTTGACCTCTGTTGGGTTTGGGCACTGACTGCCACAGTGGTACTGTTTCTGGGGGAGACCATTGCACAGGTTCTGCTGCTGGCCTGGTAAACATGCCCCCTCACAGCACCACACCTCACTTACTTTCTTGCAGAGACATTCTCAGGGAGACACTGCTGCCTGCCTTTTCCCCATCTCTATAGGAAACAATGGAGGATTGGCGGCACCCTCTTTCGATGCCCCTAGAATTGGACCCCCTGGTCCAATCTTTTCCAAACTTGGGAAGTCTTTTGGAGAGAGGCTTCAGCAGCTACAGCCCCCTGAATACTTGTTAGAGGATTTTTGCCATTGACTACAATGGCCCCATTGGATATAATGGACCTGAACATTTTCAGGTACCAATACAATACCAGCATTGGTATTCGGGTATATTCGGGAGTCCCGAAAAAATTCGGCTGTATTATACCTGAATCTGGGGGGGAAAACACAAATCCCCCCCGCCCACCCCTATTCTTGATCCTCTAGACTCCAGCTCTTTCTGGGCATGATGGTCCTCCTTAGTTCCCATTCCCTCAGTAGTTGTGACATATGGTGTAGTGACAGTTTGGTGCAGCGGTTAGGAGTTTGGTGATAGTTTGGTGTAGTGGTTAAGAGCAGTGGTCTCTAATCTGGAGAACCGGATTTGATTTCCCATTTCTCCACATGCAGCCAGCTGGATGACCTTGGGTCAGTCACAGTTCTCTCTGAGCTATTCTCTCAAGGGCACCTCTCTCAGCCCCACCTATCTCACAGGGTGTCTGTTGTGGGGAGAGGAAGAGAAGGAGATTGTAAGTCGCTCTGAGACTCCCGAGTGAAGAGTGGGGTATAAATCAAACTCTTCTTCTTGGTCTCTCTGTAGATCCCTATCGTTCATCGTGCCAAGGCCATGTCTAAGAAACCGATCTCCTTGTTCGCCAGCCCATGGACTGCTCCAATCTGGATGAAAACCAACAACGACTGGAAGGGGAAGGGGTCTCTGAAGGGGGATGCAGGCAACAGAATTCACAAGACATGGGCCAACTATTTTATCAGGTAAATGGACTTGGGGGTTGGAGGGGTGCAGGCTCTCCCCCAGGCATCCTGTTGGGGGGCCCTGCCCTCGTGGCCACTATTCACCTGATGCTTTTTCTCTGAAAGCAGAAAGATCCCTAGGCTAGCATACAAGGCACTAGATTTCTTAGTCAGGAGACAAACTCTCTTTAGTAGAAGAAAACATCCTCCGGGTTCATGTCCGGGCGCAGTTGCCTGCGGTCCCATCCCAACATGTCCCCAATATAATATGAAAGCTGTCTTTGTGGCATGGAAAGCATGGCCCAAATTACACTGGACATTGGGAACCTGTGACAGTGGGCAAAATACAGGTCACTGTCTTCTGTTCCATACTGGGGTTTAAAGCTGCTGGGGACTGGGGCAGGATTTCTGATCAAGGGCCCAAGTGTGTGTGTGTGTTGGGGGTGAGTTTAACCTTCCTCTCCTCTTCCCTAGCACCCTGGCTCCAATTCAAATCACGGCCCCCATGGCTTCTATGGGCAATCTCTCCTTATATATAATTGAATAGTGGGTGCCAAAGTTCTAATTCTAAAATGCACTCCCTTAGTGTATGGCTGATGGCACTGCTCCTCAGCATATATCGCCACCAATCAGAAGGCAAAGCCCGGGTCCTGCCCACACTACAACTGCTGCGATAACCTGGTCTTTTGCATATGGAAGCTGATTGGACTTCAGTCCATTCCACACCTCAAACTCCCCCCCCCCGCACGGCAGTTGGATTTTTAAGTTGAACCTCATAGGGGAGAGGAGAATGGGTAACAATGGTTACCACTCTCCAGGTGAAGGCTACAGATAACTCAAACATACAAATGCTCTTCAGGTAGCAGAGATCAGTCCCTCTGGAGAAAACAGTGGACTCTGTCATTAAACCCTGCTGAGGTCGCCACAGGAAACTGACACTGCCCAAAGCCAGAGCACTCTCCCAGAGCCTCTTTCTAGATCTCGTTGTATTTATTTCCGCAACGGGCATTATTTCTAGTTAAACTATGTGTCAGGAGAATTTGATGACGCAGCTTTAAGGTGTCTCGGTTTGGGGGGGGGGGCGTCTACAGGCCAGGATTCCAGATTCTAGTGCTTTGCATTATCCCTGAACTAGCTTATTATTAGTGACAAAATTCAAGTTTATTCAAGTTTAGTTTATTCGGCATGTATCCCGCCCTCCCCGCTGAAGCAGGCTGAGTTGCACCACAGTCCAGTTGCACCACAAAATTTCCCAGTGGATAAGCTAGCATGCGTCAAAGCTCGCCTAGTCAGATCTGACGAAGGGGGGTGTTGACTTTTGTGGGGGTTCAAATCACGACACACCACAACAGATTTCTTGAAGCAGCAGATCAGCTCTGTCTCTCTGTACCAAGCTGTTCTTCTGAGCTCACAGGCTCTCTCGCAGCAGCATTTTATTAGAATCAAGAAGGCTCAGTCAAATTCGTTACAACAGAGCAAAAGACTTTGTAAGCTTAAAAAGCACAGTGTATTTCACAGAATGTTCCTTTCTCATAGCTTAAGTTATCTTTCTTTAAATGTTGCAGATCTTGTACATTCTCTGAGTTATTTAACAGTCTCATGCAGACTCAGCAAAGATTGTCTCCTGCTTGCCAATCTCCCATTGTCAGTTTCCATGTGAGAACTTGAGAACTCGTCCTGGGTTTGCCTCACGGGATTTGTTCTCATATCCCACCGGGGGGGAGGGGGCTCAAATAGGCTGGAAAATGTTGGTCCCTAAAGGTGCTGCCGGATGTGAATTTTGTTCTACCGTTACAGGCTAACACAGGTACCCACCTGAAATCATTTATAACACACCTTAAATCGAAGTACTGTCCATCACATTGATCTGTTATCTTGTTGTATTATAGTTCTGAACCCCCCCCCCCCCCCTCAAATAAAGTGGGCTCTTGATAGAATTAAACCTGAACCCTCCCTGGAAGCTATCATGAGTAGACTACTTTGGTCACATCATGAGAAAACAAGAGAATGATGCTAGGAAAAGTTGGAGGCAGCAGGAAAAGAGGATGACCCAGCGTGAGACGGAACGACTCCATCAAGGAAAACATCCACAAAAGGGCCCTCAGTTTGCAAGACCTGAGCTAGGCTGTTAATGAATGGAGGTTTTGAAGGACATGAATTCATAAGGTCGCCATAAGTCGTAAATGAATTGGCGACACTTAACACACATTATAAGAACATAAGGGACGCCAATGTTGGATCAGGCCAAAGGCCCATCCAGTCCAACACTCTGTGTCACACAGTGGCCAGAAATACCAGGTGCCATCAGGAGGTCCACCAGTGGGGCCAGGACACTAGAAACCCTCCCACTGTTGACCCCCCCAAGCACCAAGAAGACAGAGCATCACTTGCCCCAGAGCCCCTATCTATACCTTGCGGCTAATAGCCACTGATGGACCTCTGCTCCATATGCCTATCTAATTCCCTTTTGAAGCCGTCCTGGTGGGTACTGTCGTGTTGGTCTGAAGCAGCAGAAAAAAGTTTTGAGTCCAGTGGCACCTCTAAGACCAGCACAGTTTAATTGTTGGTATAACTTTCGTGTGCATGCACGCTTCATCCGGTACATTATAGTTTACGTTATAGTTCTGTTATTTATTATCTTTTCGTAAAAATAAAAATCCGAGGCTTCCTCTTGGAACTTAGGGCAGCATGCATAGATCTTTCGCAGGGCTCTTTTTGTAGCAGGAACTCCTTTGCATATTAGGCCCCTAATGTAGCCAATCCTCCAAGAGCTTACAGTAGCTCCTGTAAGAAGAGCTCTGTAAGCTCTTGGAGGATTGGCTACATTAGGGGTGTGTGGCCTAATATGCAAAGGAGTTCCTGCTACAAAAAGAGCCCTTGTCTGTTTTTATCCTTACAATGACCCTGAAGCGTAAATTAGACCAGGAGCAGGCAACTTTGAGGGGCCCAATTCCTAGGGATGTGTGTGTGGAATTTGCTGTCTGCTTGTGAATATTTATTTATTTATTTATTTAGGTATTTTTACCCCGCCCTCCCCGCGAGCGGGCTCAGGGCGGCTTACAGGGGCTTACAGTCCTTACATAAAATCCAATAAAATCCAGTAAAACAATCAATAACATATTAATAACAATAAAGTGCTTTAATGCTCCAAGATGGCTTAAGTTGTTAGTCCAGAAAATGGTCCGAGTCTGTCAGCTGGTTTTGCTTCTGCGTGGGTCACCTTATTGCCGGAGTATCAGGCATCCCAGTCTAGATGACATTCCACCGTTGGTGATGGTGGAGTGGCGGCGGCCCCTACATAAAGGCCTGGTGGAAGAGCTCCGTCTTGCAGGCCCTGCGGAATTGCATGAGATCCCGCAGGGCCCTGATCTCTTCCGGGAACTCATTCCACCAGGTAGGGGCCGCCACTGAGAAAGATCTTGTCCTCGTTGCAGCATAGTGCACCTCCCGGGGGCCCGGAACCACTAAACGGTTCTGGGTCCCTGACCGAAGTGCTCTTGGGGGTATATATGGGGAAAGGCGGTCCCTCAGGTAGGTCGGACCCAGGCCATATAGGGCTTTAAAGGTGAGTACCAGCACTTTGAAGCGGACTCGGTATGCTATTGGCAGCCAGTGCAGCGCCTTCAACCCAGGCTTGATGTGCTCCCACCTGGGGAGGCCCATCAGCAGCCTAGCCGCCGCATTCTGCACTAGCTGCAGCCTCCGGATCAGCAACAAAGGCAGCCCCATGTAGAGAGCGTTACAGTAGTCTAGCCTTGAGGTGACCGTCGCATGGATCACTGTAGCCAGGTTTTCGTGGTCGAGGAAGGGAGCCAACTGCCGAGCCTGCCTCAGATGGCAAAATGCAGACCTGGCAGTGGCTGCTACCTGGGCCTCCATTGTTAAGGAGGCATCCAGGAGCACTCCCAAACTCCTAACCTCCG